ATTCCACATCGAAACTTACCAACATATCCCCAGCCTCCAGCTTTACACCTTTTACCGATTCCACAAAATGTGTAGAATCCCTGACATACGATTCCGTGTTACCTGTAAAGGGAGACAGAATCTTTGCAAGATGTTTGGCCAGCTGGTATGTTGGGGAGTTGATGGCGCTGACGATAGGGCGGAGGGGGACGTTTGGTTTGTGAATCTTCGGTAGTCCGTAGATTCTTGGTGGTACCGGCGCCTGCACAAACAATCTTTCTGCTGGAATTCCTGTGGATTTTATCAGTTCCTTCATTTTTCTAATGATTTTGTCTGTGGGGTCCTTCTTGATCTTCCTGTAGGTGGCTGGGTCCAGTAAGTTCATCATTTTGTCGTCGTATTCTTTCCTGTCCATAACAACGGTGGCATTCCCCTTGTCTGCTGGTAACACGACGATTTCTGATTTTTCTTTTATAGATCGGAGTGCCTTCTTTTCACCAACCGTCAAGTTGGATTTTGGTGGTTTTGCTGACTTCAATACTCTCGCAACTTCTTGTCGGATCTCTTCGGCTTTCAGTGCAGGCATCCCTCGAACAGCTGCTTCCACTTCGCAGATGATTTCCTCCTTTGGGACCTTACTTCCTATTGCTTTCACGGGAACCCCGGAATACCAGTGTAATACGTACCACCGTCAACGCAAGAAATGTCACTAGAATTAAATAGCTAACCTATAAAATTTAGCAGTAGTTCTACGTGTAGTCGGATCGCATTTTTCCAAAAAACCTTTATTATTGTGTTGTGATTTAAAACATTTGGTAAGTGTGAAAATATTATGACGTTAAAATTAGTTAAAATATCGACGGATTTTTAAAACATCAGAACAAAATTGTTTTTTAATAACTGTCTTATTTCAATGAAAACTCATTAAACCTCTTGCCCACAAAAAAGAACATGCTGTAAGATAAAGCAGTTAAAAAATCGATTCTTGTAAATTTTTCTCAATGTCGTTTACGGTGTTCTGCGTTCTGTTAAAAACCTATCGATGTCTTCCTCCAAAAGTGTTCTATGAATACCACTTGCAATAGGTGATGGTCGCTTTTCAAGAATAATCAAAGTATTCTTTCAATAGAACTGTCATGGCTGATGCTAGTAAGCCTAAGCGACCTTCTGGGTCGCAAAACCGAAAACGGAAAGCGGAAAAAGAGAAAGAAAGTGCCAAATTAAAAAGATCTCTCCTTGTTTTTCTTCAAAGAGAAGATAAAGAAAATACGGATATTCTAACAGAGACAAGTGAATACAGTACTTCTACTACACGGTGAAAATTTAAAGGATGAAGGAACATCAAATACATCGGCATACGTTTCCATTGATTATGGCGATCCTGGTACCTGGCCTGATTCTATAAATGATCATTTGCGACAAATGATTGTCTCACGCGGCACTCAACAAAATATTCCAAGTCAGTTTCCCAAAGATAAAAACAACCGTAGGTTTACCACGGTTCATTTCAATAGACAAATGTGTAATGGAGAAGAAATACCAAGGAAATGGTTAGTTTATTCTCCATCAAATAACACAGTTGTATGTTTTTGCTGCAAGTTATTCAAGAAAAAACAAAAATCTGCATATACCTCACTGTGCCGAGAAGGAAGTAACGACTGGAAAAACATGAGCACCATCCTCTCTTCCCATGAGCGCAATGTAAATCACATTGACAATTGTCAAGTTTGGCGAGAATTAGAAGTTCGCCTACGTGAAAATAAAATCATTGACGCCATGCACCAAAAGAAAATTAAACAACAGGAGAGCTATTGGAAACAAATTTTACATCGTTTAATAGCCTTGGTGAGAACTCTGGGTGGACAAAACTTGGCCTTTCGCGGTTCAAAGGATAAATTATATGACCATAATAACGGCAACTATTTAAAATTTATTGAATATCTTGCATTATTCGATCCAGTCATGAATGAACATTTGCAAAAAGTTAAAGATGCTAAATTATTTGTTCATTATCTCGGCAAGGATATTCAGAATGAACTTATACAACTGCTATCACGAGCTACACTGTTCTCATGC